GTTAGTTTTCGGGGGTGTAAGACCGGTGCTTGTTCGTTCTGTCCAGTCAGAGTCGCGTCTCTGGGATTTTTGTCCGAAACCGGTCGGATGGGGAAATGGCAAATCCCAAACACTCCACTTGAGGTGGTGGTGTCAACTGAATTGAAAAAATATGAGTCATGGGCTCAATCATCTCAAGTAACGGTTGGTAACGGTTGAAAACACACATATACCACCACCCGGACCATGTATGGAATACGGACATCGACCATCCAAAGCACACCATTCATACATGGATAGTCTGGGGATGGCAAATGATGGATGGGCGCAAGCGCGACACAACATTCATAGAACTTGGGTTTCGGAGACCTGGTTGACCGCATCAAATGTGCGGCATTTATTTGGTACTAAACCCAAATATATATATATATATATCTATTATGTGGGGGCCCTATCTCACTTAGACTACTTAAGTAGGAGGTCATGTCACAGTATCTCGTTCGGACTACTTTAAATAGCAAATCACACTTCGCGTTCAGACTACTTTAGTGTCAAGCAAACGTATCTCGTTTATGCGGGGGCCCTATCTCGTTGACAAGCGAATACTGATGATAGACAAGCAAATAGAGCATGCCGTAGACTACTCTAGTAAAGCCTAAAAAAATGACACAAAAACATGGGCAATATAACCCTAGGCTCCAAGTACCTTCTACAAAAAGGTGTTTGAGATGGGTTTGGAGGGTCCAAATACCTCATGAGTACTTGGAGCCCTAGGGTAACACACATGTCATGTCTTATTAAGTAAAACTGATCAAGGTACAGTAGGTCGTACACATTCACGATGCCTTTAGAATAATAGTCATTATGTTACGATATATGACGTTGTCCATACAGGTTGAGATGACCCACCTGGGCAGGTTAAATCTTAAGCAACTTGACTTATAACATGCACATCAAGTTTCGGGACTTACGGGTCTACAGCTGTTGACTTGCGCATATATTTGCACGCTTTATTACATGAGTATACCGTATACCTGTGCAAGTCTGTCTACCGCACGTCACGGGTCCGCGGTTGAAACGCGCCTCTCGAGCTTCTCGCGCTCCCTTTCCGCCGCTTGTGGGTCATTCTGGGGATCTGGCCCTGAGCGCAGAGCGCAGCTGAGCGTCCGCGGGCAAATCCAGTTCTGTTGATGTTGAAACACCCTATACAGACTGCAACAATCAAAGGAACATCAGCAATGCAACAAACATCCCTCCCAAACTCGCGCATATTCCATGCTTAACAAACAGACGTTTGTGCATAAAACAAACACAATTTGATCCCCCATCTTCTTCTCAGGTTCGCTGCGGATCCCTTTCAGGGATGTTTTCCGTATCTCTTGACGTCTTGGACTCGTATCCTGAAACCACCCCAACCCCTAGGGATCCAAGTACCTTGTCAGAAGGTACTTGGACCCTCCACAACCCCAACCAAGAGAGGTTGAACAGCCCTTTGTCGCCCATCCCATATGTACCACTCCAGGGTCCTAGTCCTGGTCTCTCAACCTCTTTTGGAATGTATCGTATGCACCTCCATGAACCCAACAGAGCCGGCGGAGAAGACCGGACCAACGATCACGGGTTCCGAGACCAGGTGGAGGACCTGCTGACCGGCTGGCATCGGCACCTGGTGAACGGTTGACCCTGGTGGGTTGCAGTGTGATTTTTCGTGTTTCTCTTCGCAGGGTCCGGTGGTGTGACCCCTCTAGTTGCCGGCACGGGTTTTCACCCCACGGAAGCACCCACGGAACCCCGTCCGATCTCACGGTCAGGTGGGTCCCGAGTGACCTGAACTAGGATCTTCTTGGGGTACCGGGTATATAAATACAGTCTATAGGGTTCTGACCCAGCTCTGCTGGTTATAGACCTATTGATACCTATTGCTTGTACAGGACCAGGGGTACTCCTCTAATCATCAACCTTCCCCAGCCGAGCCACGCACCTGCGAGCCACGCACCAGCCACGCGCTTCCACCCACGCGCTCCCGGGGCGCGATCCGGTTCCACCTCCCCAGGCCTCCTGGGTCGGGGACCCTCTGAGGCGCCCCGACGAGACCAGGTTTCTTGTAGGTCCTGGGCGGTCCGGAGACGATCTGGTCGGGATGGAGACGATCTGGTCCGATGGAAGAACGTCCCCTGTTTTTCAAGCTGATCCATGTGGACAGCCCCATGGATGCCTATGGAACTTCCATTCGTTGAAGCTGATCCATGGAACTGGTAGTTAACTGGTAGTTGGATTTCTGCCTATGACCAGCTCAGGTTGCGTGAACCACACCTTGCATCCAAATGCCATGGCGCCAAACCAACATAAGTTGGATTCCAAACATCGTCCACTCTCGCGTGCCGCGACGCGTACAAAGGAACACCTCCTGCGGACTTCGAAGCGGAGGTCCACTGGGATGTCGTCCGGTCCAAGGCCTCCCAACACCGAAAGTTCTGAAAAAGTGACCGAACCAGATCCTGATCCCCTGTTTGAGGTCACTGAGGGACTCCAAAAAGGTCATTTCAGAAGCTGGCATACAAGATATCGTTCAAACAACTATATATAATGTAAGAAGGCATGATAGCCAAACCAAGCAGCCTCACAATAACAGGTATAGAATCAATCATGAAGGCTATTGCTTCTTCTGCTTGGAATCCATCATACCAGTTAATTCGAGTGCGGTCCGCACTCGAGTGATGTCCCCGCTCGCACCGTCCACTTTTCCACTGAGACTCACGCCCTTCTGTTGACCAATCAAACGTCTCACAGGCGAGAAGCAGGAGTTCAAGGATGCAAAGGATGCTAAGAACATCAGTGTTGCTACGAAAAGGTCATATGTTGGCTATATCCCATGACCAGTAACCATGGATGATGATGGTTTGTTCAAAGGAATTTCTCACAAATAGTGATCATCTTTTAACGACTGGTGCTGAGCGTTTGGTCACTGACTCAGATTTCAGGGAGTACATATATACATACATATACTTGAGAGAGGAGGGGGTGAACGAAAGGTAGCAGGCAATCACAAGTAACCCTGGTAGAAGTCCATGACGGCGTGAACCGGCGCAGGGGGGATTTGATCCAGGGGGGGGGGGGCCGAACAGAATCAACTCTTACAGGACCAAACTCAATGCACAATCCCAACTCCTGATTGTAATACATTTTTGCTAAAGCAAGGAGAACTCAGGTAGCTCGAGCTACCTTTCGTGATATATATATATATAATACCTACCAGCTGCCTCCCCATCTGAAACCTAAACGTATCATATTTTGGTATGACGTGGTCAAAAAAACTAAGCAGTTCCTCAAAGGGGCGTCCTGTTGGCGTTCTTCGTGGCCCTTTGCAGTGCCGAAGCACTTTGCATCCCATGCGGAAGCGCATCGATGGCGCTAATCCATGCACTATCGACAGGTGTGTGAGCGAATTCAAAGCTATTTGCCACAGGCATTTCTGTTGGCCATCGCCGATCGATGGCGGCCATAGGCATTGTCATTACAGTTCAGAGGCGAAGAAGTGTGCCATTGTGTGCATGGTGGTTGCAAGGAGTCCCTAGTTTCATACGGTTTCCCACTTAGGAAGTAAGCAGGTGGGATATGAATCGCTGGAAGCTCTGGCACAAGGACTTGTTTCAAAACGCTGGGAAGGGTGACCCTGGGAAAAAAAAATGGGCTTGGAGTATCAACACTACTGTCGTGTCATGGGTACTTGGGTGGCTATGCACACACAAACACACCAACTTCGCTCCTGACTCCCTCAACAATCATGGAAGCCCAAACAATCCATGGGACTGGAATCGTGACCTGCATTAGACCGCATTGTTGTCTTTTTCTTCAATTGAGGGCTTCCAGTCTTTGGAGGGTGAGCCCGACTCGGCTCGCTTGGAAGCGGTCGCCGACTCACTGCAGAATCGGTCCAGGCGTCCACTGGAAGGGAAAGCCGAAGAAACTCGGCAGCCCTGGGCGGAAGGCACGGAGGGGACGAGGGAATGAACTCGCAGGGGATTGAACTGGCCCAGTGGGATGGTACACCAGACCGGGAACCGCTTTTGGATGATAAACGAAAGACCGGTCAAAGACTAGGTTTTGACAGGAGTGGAGTCCAAGTAGCTTCTCGGAAGGTATGTGGATTCCTAGTACCAAAAACACTACTCAAGGAGTCCCAAGAAGGTCGAAAACCAGGCCAGGTTTTTTATTGGGTCTTTGGACTTGTAGGGATAGACGTCTGCAGTTCATGGCCATCCATTTCATCAGTCTGTCAGATTGTCGAACAACATTTACCAACCAACCATTTGGCCAGGACCCTTCTGGCGAAGTATGTATAGCAACAACCTCCAACAAATTGCAATGTCTTCATGTCTCCATAGAACCTCGAAAGGAGGAGGGTCCGGGTCACAGGGAAGATTCCCTCCAAACTGTTTTTGGTCCCTCAAAACCTAGTGATTTGAGATCCGGACACCTCCAAACAGGTTTTGGGTCCGGCTCCAGGTCCATGAACCTCTGTGCATTCCTGCCAAAGCAACGATGTTTTAAGGTTGGGGACCAACCATGAGGGTCTACGCTTTTGTTGACATTCTCTAAGAGCCTAGCACCTGGTCATGAAGATATCGTACTTCACAGCTTGCAAACAATGAAACGCCAAGGGTTGGGAAGCAAATGCGCCGTCGGCTCAAAATCCTGGATTCCTCGTAAAACCATGTGGCAGCTTCTTTCCGGAAATGTGGTTTCTAATGACAACCTTTGATTCATCATATACGTCAAGATAGATAGGGCTAAGCAACTCCCAAAACTGACTGACTATATAATTATATATACATAATAAACTACACCTAGTGATAAATAGGCGAAACATGTTCACCTACACTTCGGGATGTTTTATTTTATTGTCCAACAGCCCCCTTCTCGATCCAAGAAATGATTCCTCTTCAGTGCTTAATCCCCTTTCATCTCCATTCCAGAAAATATTCCTCCTCAATACTTATCCTATTTCATCTCCATTCCAAATAATCCTGTCCTCCCCATACTCGTCTACTTTAGAAACAGTTTTTAGTTTGACTTGGGTACGGGGGTGGGGGTATCCTGGTATCCTCTGTTTAGTGTCACGTATATCATATATATATATATATCTGTGTGTAACCTGTGCACAACCCTTCCTGTGCACAACCCTTCCTGGGAACGACAGGCACAACAACAACAACAACAACTCCAACTTCAACCCCCCTAGTTACCTAGTCCGGCCACACAGTTCCGGTGCCCATCCCTTTTCCACACCATGGCCCTGCTCCTCACCGTGCATCTTGCACTCGATGCGACACGAGTCGTCGCTCGCAGTAGATGTGCGTTCCGCGCATTGTCCGTGGTCGCGGTGGCCTCCGTACTCGTAGGAGGCCGCCTCGTAGGAGGCCGCCTCGTAGGAGGCCGCCGCTTCGGCTTCGGCTTCGGCCGCGCGGATCATGTTGTTGGCGGCGACGGCGTCCTCATAGGACCAGGTCTCCAGCGCCCAGTTTTCCTTGGAGCGAGTGCGGTCGAAACGTCGGGAGAACGGTCGAACGGATGGGCAGAAAGAAGGGGAGGGCCAGGCGTATCCAGAGGCTGAAAGGGGCCTAGGGCGACGATTCATGGTGGAAAGAAGAGAAAATTTTCACGTCGGAAGACATATATAGAATTTTATACAATTACTATCTATCTATCTCTATCTATCTCTATCTAACTATCTCTCTATATTTATCTATCTATCTATGTATCTATCTATGTATCTCTGTATGTATCTATCTATCTATCTATTTGTCTATCTATCTATCTATCTATCTATCTATCTATTTGTCTATCTATCTATCTATCTATCTATGTATCCCAGTGAGCCCTCTCTGAGCATGCGTTGTGCTCTACGATTGAGATCCTGTTACCCTTCAAGCTCTACTGTGTTGCCAAAGTGGTTTTTGGCACGGTAGGTTTCTTTTCTTACTGCCCTCGGCTGTGAAGATTTCTCTATAGCCATGGCAAGCCATAGCGCACCACAGCACCTGTAGAGTCAGCCAAGAAGAAGACCTTCTTGAGCCCCTGCCTTTGCGAGATCCCTCGTGAGCGCCCGGAACAGAAAAAAGCTGAAAAAAACTATCTATGTATCTATATGTATATATCTAATTATCTACATATCTATCTATCTGTCTATCTATCTATCTATCTATATATCTATCCTGATTATCTATCCATCCTAATTATCTATATATATATATATATCTGTATATATATATGTATTAATCTATCTCTATACATATCTATCAATTTATCTATGCATCTATGTATCTATCTATCTATATTTATTATCTATCTATCTTCTTTTTGTTATTTAGTTATTTCTTTATGTATCTGTTTACTTCCTTCTTTCTTTATTTCTTATCTAGCTATCCTACTTATCTATCTATCCTATTTATCTACCTATCTTATCTATCTATCTATCTTATATATATTGATTATATATTGTATTTATAATATATGTCTGGGCCTGAGCAGCGAGTAAAACATCCAGTAGTAACTAGTATCCAAACCTGGCCTCTGAAGGGACAAAGGTTTGTTAAGAAGTTAGCAAGTTCCTCTTTCCTCAGTCGAGACAAACATGCACAGCCAGTGAACAAGTTAAAATAATGGGGACAACCTGGGGGGTACCTGTGTGCCCTCGTAATTTAGGGCCCAACCAAATAAAACCATGATAAAACCATAATGAACCTATGACAACTTGTTTCGGTTCGCCTGGCCAGCCCACTGTTGATTCTCACACTCCAAAAGTACATCCAAATATACTTGAGATTAGGGGGGTGAGATGGCCGGTAGCTAGGATGTACTGCACGAGGGGTCAGTCTGTACCGCAGTGACAGGATTCTCTGGGCACCTGGTGAGATGCCAAGGTTATGCATGAGGACGACGAAGGATTGCATCCAGAATGGGGCACCCCCCAATGAACCGGGTGGATCTGCAGGCGCAACTCCATTGGAATAGGTTGAAATTACTTTAAAGTTCTGATTCTGATTCTTTAAAGCAAGAACTTACTTATACATATACAAGATTATACAATAATCATGGACCTGTTCAAAGGCCTATACAAAACTTCGCACATCAAGCCAGCGTGATTTCTTTTTGTTAGGTGCTCCAGTATACTCCCTCTCTTTTGGGGTTTTGTCTCTCCCTCTCTTATGCACCGACCGCATTCATCTCGCACATCCCGCGATTCAGAATCCGCTGACGAATCAGCAGCTCGGCCCAAGGGGCTCCGAAGGTCTCGGCGTTGTTCGAGTCGGCGCCACCTTCATAGTCCTCGCGAGGTCGCGGAGAGCGTGACGCTGGGCGCCTGAACGGAGGCCTATCGGCTGGGCGACGGCCAGCTGAGCTTAAAACCGGTGCATCTTGTGAGAGAATATCAGCGGCGCACGGGAAACGGGAAAGGGAAGGCACTACAGATTTGATACGAGAAAACCAATTGGAAATCCTTCTACAAAGGAAATCCTTCTAGTAGGAGAGGGAAATAGAAAAGGAACTACTAATAAAAGAATATAAAGGAGACATATCCAAACCAGTTGACCAGACCGTGCAAATCAAGTTGGTTAGTATTACACAAGAGCCTTCTCCAGGAGTGTCCTTTCTAAGCTCGCATTCTTGTGCACGACGTCAAAACAAGTCAAAACCCATAGGGATCTAAGTACCTTCTCAGGTACCGTGATGTGTTCGGCACTGTTATGTAGGTGCCAAGTCACGTCGGGTCTGTTTTCGTACCGAACCTAACGGATCCATCCATTTGCCCAGTAAACCACCACTCACCCGTTCCTCCAGACCCACCCGTTCCTCCACCCCTGCACAACCCCCAACAAAGAGCGGTCCAAGCGTGCTTCAAGCATTTGGACGCGCTGTTCATCATTGGCATGCGCCAGGGCACCTTCGGAGGGTCCAGTCGTCCAGAAGGCAACGGGGTGGTCACCACTGTGAAACAAAAGGGTTTAGTGATGGAAGGTAACTCATGGATGGTCTGTTCATTGGTTCAAAATATGTTGAGCGGTGCTTTTTCATCCCAACAGCTGTTCACCACTACCGAATTGATGTTGGAAGCCTTTGATCCAGATCGATCGACCGTGAAGCCTTGTTTGGACCATTGGGCAGTCCGCTGGATCCTTCATTTTTTGGTCCAACATGGCCTAACAAATCAGCCAGCCTGCATCCACTGCATGGTTTTCTAGTTCAAATGAATGTGGTCACTGACCGTGCGTCCGTTCCGTGCCTGGTCCGTGCTCCGTCAACCAAACGTGGCCCGTTTCCCTTGGTACTTTTTCGTTGAGGTATATTGCTACTCGTTTTTTTTTTTCCCGGGCAACTAAATGCCAATGCCATGGTTGATTGAACAGTTTGGTTGAACAGATCAGCAGAGCGAAACTGGGGGAAACTGGAAGTCTCTAGAACACTCAAAAGCGATCACATCAAGTTAAGGGAAGAGTATGTAAACAGCACATCTCTCTTCTATATCTGGATAAATCTGGATCTTCATACTTCTGCCTTTTGTCTAGTTTTATGGACTAGAACTTCTTCATAGTTGAAGATCCAGGTACTGAAATATTTCTTAGACTTGGAGAGATGAGGCTGACGGACGTAGAGAAATAAGAAACCAATCCTCTTGGAACTTCACATGATGCTGAAAACAGCCCAATCAGATTGCTGATTAAACATGACACGAGCATTCTGGGTCTCATATTCCTTCATGCAGGGGGTTTCGGTTTCACCAAACAAAAAGAATATATCCAACTTCTGCTTCTTTCGCTCTACAAGCAAAGGAGAAAAGGCTCTGTTATCGCGTGATATCGCGACTATGCGGTGTCAGTCGCGTTCGGTGCTCGGTCACTGAGCCCCGAGCGTTGATCTTCTTCCTCCCAGTAAAAGTCGGGCAAATAAATCGTAAATGGAAAGACAATCTCCTGAGCGGTCGCAAGGCATAACCGAACATGAATCAAGGCTCTGGAAAGACCATCTCACCGGTTCGACGTTCGCGGAACACGGATTGCTTGACCGTTTCACTCAACGTTGTTTTGCGCAGGTGAAAAGGGAAGGAAAGCAGAAACCTGAGACCTGGTGGGAATTGGGACATGGGCAGGACTTACTCTGATGGGCACAGGAAAAAGTAACCAAGTATGTAAACGTCCATTCTTCCGTATAGATTCCCCTAGTAGAAGGTGCTGTTCAGGGACAGCAAAGCATCCTCTCCTGTGCTGAAACAGAGGGATTGATTGGATGACTGAATCCAATAAGAGTGCAATGGTCTTGAAACATATTATAGCATATTGCCAGACCCTGGGACCAGGACCTTGGACATAGACTTGACACGAAGCGAGCGAGCATGGCCAACATCACAGAAGATCACTCGATCAAACCAAGACAGTCCCTCTATCATTCACAGTCCTGTCCGTGGGTCTTTTTCTTGGTCGCACCCTTTGCCGCATGAGCAGCTCGGCGAACAACATTTGGGAAACAAAGGTCTGCGGGAGTGATCCCAAAGGTCAGCGGGAGTGATCCTTGAAGCATTTCAGATTGCTGGTGCGAAAAGCAAGGAGATTGCTGGCCTGGACCAATCACCCTTGTTCCGAACACTTGTCTTGGGCTCCTGTCGAACCAGCATCTGACTGGTGGAACCCAAATGTGTGAAAGGGGCCTGGGGTGGTTTTGGTGTGAGAGGTTCAGCAAGGCTGTTTTTCATGGATCAGCCCTACCAGTCGGACCAAGTAAAACCTGGTCCTTAACCAGAGTACTGTTTGTTGCATCACCAAACCCAGTTCAAACAAACCTGTCAGGAGATCCAATGATTGTGATTCTCACCTTGCTCGCTCGCGGGTAGTTTTGAGTGAATGGTTTTCACACAGAAGACGAAAACTATGTTGTTGCAGACACTCCGCGCCATAAGGTCGTCAATGTGAAGAAGTTTCCCCTCAGAAGGGCGTGCCCTCCCAATGTAGACTCTTGATTCATAGACCCCCCCATATGATGTTCGCTGGATAATAAAACTGGTCGGGAACCAGGTTGAACGACTCATCCCTATGTCAGGTATGAAGATCGCCCAATCAAGCGGATTTAATTGAAACACACCAAAAGCGATGGCTGATTACTAATTACCCTATGTGTTGTAGCAAGCGCCTTTCCTCCAACTTGATTGGAACGACCCATTCCCTGGTGACGTTCTGTCCTGCCGTCACTTCCTACTCCGGACTGCCCCATGCTTGTCCCTCAATCCGGGTCTCTCGTGGCAGGCCATCCGGACGGAGGGGCCACTTCTGCCTGGCGGAGGAGGATGGTTCGGTTGACCTCGGGCCCGAGTGGATGAGGATGGTTAGGTTGCAGGCCGACACCTCAAAAAAAGTGTGATCATCTTTAAAAAGACGTGCTTTTCTTGGTAGTGTGACACACCCATTCACTATACCATACTCAGACTCAGACTGAGCGCTTTCTAGATTCAAAAGAACTGGCGAAAAACAACATCGAGTACCACTTGCTTGCCCAAACACGCCCTGAGACCTGTCTGGCACTGGAAAATTGACCAAATACACAACCATGATGTATATTATATATATTATATAATTATATATGAACATATGGCATATGTGCAGCGTTTGAGATAGGGCCTGGTCAAACCTAACTTCATGGATTTGTTAGTCTCTATAAGACTCTTTCAGAACAGCTACAGGTTTGGCCATGTTCATGTACCTTACTGTACTGCCTACACTCCCGCTCTGCTCCTTCCTACAGTTTTGCCTCGACCAGGTGGCACTTCGCAAGGAACTATGCGTCTGACAGGATTTTGTCAACAACAAGAACACATTAAAAAGAACATACACATACCTGGTCCTGGAGTCTCAAAGTACTTGGGAAAATGGGTACAAGTCAAATTTTCTTATGTACATGAATCAAGGAGGGTCCAGGAACATACACAAACGATCCCCCTATGGAATGACCTGTGAATGTGAGGTAGTATCCAACGCGTTACCTTTCTCTGTGCATGACAAACACGCATCAAATCTACGTCCGGCTTCCTGCGGATGACGGCCGCGGGGTTGCGCCTCTTCTCCACTTGGCCCCTCTTGTGCATCCACCCACGCATCGCGAGGATGGTGTCCTTGTGATAGACCTTGAAGCAATCGGGTAGAAAATACCATGATAAGAACACTGTGTTATTATTGAAAAAAAACAAAAACAAACAAAATTAACTATGTATATATATACAACATGTATGGTCGCATCACTGTTGGCGAAACATTAAGAACACCATCGGCCATCGGGGGACCTTGGACGGGGGAATCATGTAAACCTTGCGTGTGTGTGTGTGAAGGGGGAATCCCCACATCCTGAAACATACCCCAACAAAAAGGATGAACGCAGCGTTCAGGACTGGTGTACCTTGGGAATTGCTTGAAGACCTCATTGTTGACCTTTTCTGAAATTCAAGCTCGTGCCAGATCCAGCACAATAAGATCTTTCACCTGAGATGCCCTAGTGGTTGGTCAAATTCAGAAGTGCAGTTGTTGAGTTCCAAGCACCCATGTCTGGGCCCAGCAGGCGGTCCTGTTGCCAGGACATCCACGTCACCCGTGTCATGCCAGAAACGCTCCCACTCAAGTTGACCTATGCCCAGTTTATCCAACAGTCACCCTCCTCTCCAACAGGGCCACTTCCTGCAGTAACCAGGACCAGGAGCAGTTTGCCCACTTCATCTCGGAGTTCCCGACAATTCTCTGGAGTTGGGCAACACACCTGACTGATCCAGTCAAAATGTGAGCGAACACCCTATCCTCCATCAATTACCCCTCCCATGTCACAACCATCGGAGGATCGCTGAGGGCCCCCAACCCGCCCAGTGCGTGTCGGCCGCGGGCGCGGGGCAGAAAGCTCAACCACCGGATGGCCTTGGACAGCCCGGCGTGGCTACAGTACGCCCCGGGGCCCCCAGGTGGGCTCCAGTCGTAGCTCCTCAGGTTCGGTATGGGATCCTACTGGCACCAAGCCCAGTCCCACCTTCTCACAGGGTACGACTTGGAGGTCCTAGGGATTCTAGAGGGTCTCAGACTCCGGACTTGGCGACTGATCCATTGGGGGTGGAAACAGGCTCAAAGTGGGCGAGTCGAGGAGTGCCAGGAGTTGAAGTGGCTGGTTGGGTCATGGAAATTGCTTCTCCTGCGTCGATTTGGGCTGCGATGCGTGGGTGACTTCCATGGGGGCTGAAACAAAGGGCCAAGTGGAGGGTAGGTGTGCTCATGATCGACTCCATAGTGACCACCCCAACATGCAACCCCCAGATCAAACGAAAGAAGAGGACTGACTGCGGTGTGCTCAATTCCGTCGCAGCGATGCAAGTAGAACAGCCTTCTAAAGCAACCCTTAGGGATCCAAAGACCTTCTTGGAAAGTTCGACTGGACCCTCAAAGCCTACATAAAAGTGTCTCCAATCACCTTCTCGGAGGGTATGTGGATCATCCATAGGAACTGTCAATTCAACTAACTGCCTGGAATACCAACCCCTTTTGACCACCAAACTTAATTACAAGCCTACATTCTATGTGATGCTCCATCGCACCCCCCAAAAAAAATAAACAAACACACACACACAAAAACATGTTACCTCAGAAGTCTAGATTGACTAAGTTTGACACCACTGTAGTTTGCAGGACATTCCTTCGACGCGGGGTTCACCTTGATCATCTTCACATCGTCTTAGACTTCCAGAGTTTTAGGGTTCCAGCAAAGGTTGATTCGAACCCTAGTTCGACTATCCCAGTTGGGTACCCCAGGTAGCTCGGGTCCTATTTTACTTTCACCCAGAAAAGAAACTCTGTTGGTTCTTCAGCCCGAAAACGCCCCACACCCCTTTCCGCCGCCCGCCCCGTTTCCGCCGGGGCGGCTGGGCACCAGCGACACCAAGCGGGCGCGACCGCCAGGGCCACGGGAGTCCTTGGCCGCCTGGCGGGGCCGGGCCGCTTCCAAGACCGGCAACACGGTAGGCCGGTTTGGGGTGTGGGGTGTTGGGGGGGGGGTCTGGAGGCTTTGGTTTGGAAGTGTTCATGTACCTCCCTAGATCAAATGGTTAGTAGAATCTAGATCTATCTGTTGGATGCTTGCCATCTTTTTCCCAAACTGGGCCGGCTAAAGTAGAAACTCCAATGGCCAAAAGTAGAAGGCCCGAGGAGTCCAAAAAGGCCCTACCTTCTCACCATACCTGCTCAGGTTCGGTACGACTGGACCCGACGAACCTACAGAAGAACGGATTTTCAGTGTGTGTCGAACACATCACCTTCATCAAAAGGGTGGCCGATGACCCATAGGGGGGGGCCGTTAACTGGAATTCTGGAACACCCCCCCTCAAGGGCTTGGGCTCCTGTCTGGCCGGAGGTGCGCGAAACCCTCTCACGGCTGTGTGTTGGAGGTACGAAGGGAGCGAGAATGAAACCACCAGAAGGATCGGTGTTTCAGAAGGATCGGTGTTTGAAACACAAAGATGCTCTAGACTCTAGCCTTGTCAAGGCCATTAAAAAAAGAACTGGTTGACCTGAGTGACCTGCTTTTGTTGTATAAAAATCCCGAGTATATAAAAGACTTGTTTTGTAGAAAACACATTGTAGTATAGATTAACAATCAAGGGTGGATTGATCAGTCTATACCTGGAAATTCCTCAGAGTGCTTGTGAATGTTTATGTGGTTCACAAACCTAAATAAAGGTATGTTGAACTACTAAATCTAAGCAACCACGAGGTTGCAGGCATATGCGGCATATATGTTATGAAACATTATGAACATATCTTCTGGATCCAACCTCACATGACAAACCCTGGAAGACCTCATCCCCTAGTGACTTGGTCCATCGATCGGTCAGACCGATCGAACTGGAACCACTGTTTACCCTAGCCTAAACACTCCATGGGACTGGAATAATGCCCAAACACTACACTTTCATGGGACTGGAAACGACTGGAAGTCGACTGTGCTTCTCCCCCAAACCAACCAAACGGTTTGGCAAATTATATGGCATACCTAGTGCGTCTGGGATATATGATATGTGCCTCCATTCACCCCTGAAATAAACCACCCTAGTTGAGATGCGCTAGAGTGGCAACTGGATGTTCTTAGGACAGGGCTAGCCGGATCCCAACACCGTTGAAGCTACAACGACGCACACACCGTTGACGGCACGGGGAAAAGGGTCATCCCGGGCGACAGTGACAACCCAATATACACAAATCCAGACTGACCCAGGTCCAAACCTGGACTTGACCTCCTTATTCGCAGTGTTTTTGTATGGCCTGAATATGCATTTCATGGTTTATATTAAAACTACAAATATGGTTGATAACGGTTACATGGATTAAATCTAACCATTGATGAATAATGATTCAGATTTAATGTTGATGGAGCATATGGCATTATTGGCCAACTCCAGTCATATGAGGTCAAACTGACTTGTAGTTGATCAACGACAATCGCGGCTCAGAAAAATAAAACGGAGACGTCAAATGGATGGTCCAAGTACAGTGGTTTTAGAGTAGATGGTGCAAATGTTTCTTGCCATCTACTCTGAAACCGCTGTAGATGTTTTTGTTTGCTCTGCAGGAAGGAAGTTCTTGAAGTGGAACCACACAACAAATCCATGACAGGTCTTACAGTCTATGACAGTCTATGAATGTAGGAAATGAAGGAATCGTTTGAAACCAGAGAGTTGCTTATCGATGTCCTTTTGGGAAGAATATTGGCATCGGTTTGGTACCATCATGTACCATATATACCTTTTGGGTATCGCCTCACTCTATTAATCAACAAATTCAGCCAACAAAGGGCGTCACAAACTAAACGAAGGCATCGATACTTCACCCTGGTGGATAGAGTCGATCGATCCTTCAATTTTGGGGCTAAGTGGTCAACTCTCGATTCCAGCGATTCAGCGGGGAGTTATCCACTTGGATGGGAAGGGAGTTCAATTGGTGAAACAATCGCAGTCATCTGCCACTATGATGACAACGAGGAGTTGAAAGAAACACCCTTCTCCACAGACAGGATCCAAAAGGTTTCTAGTGGTTCCACACCTTTCTCCACAAAAAAGGATCCAAAAGGTTTCTGGTGGCTCCAGTAGGAACCAATCATCATGTCTGGGTTTGGATCAATGGATCATGAAACATAACATAACTATGGGAAAAACATCCCTCCAAAACCATTAGCAAAAAAATACATACACAAACTCAACAACAAAACCAGGCGGAGAAAGACGGCCCAACGAATGCGGCCTCCCAACGAAAGCGCACACGCACACCCACCGCAAGGTCTGAGGAAGTCAGACCACCATCCTCAGATCAATCGTGGAAAAGAACACAGGAGATCGGGGCAGATCAAAAGTTTGAAAGGATCCCCGAAACGATGTGAATGGGAAATCATACTGAATGAGAATGAAAGAACTATTAGAAACTAATCAAAGTGGGGTGATGGGTCTCCGGGTCAGAACCTGCAGCCCTGGTCCACCACGTAGATCTGGCATGTGGGATGACCTGTGACTGCACATCGTGTTCTTGATGTTTTCAGTGGTATGTCATTGTAGGTCGATGGGTCACTGCTCAACTGGTTGGATCGAGCGCTCATGCTTCTGTCGCATCGTGCCTTTGAAAGTGCTGCTGCTTACGAAGGTCTAGCTCTTGTCTCTCGCTATTTGTACTGCACTGCCTTCTTTCTTAATCCATATCAGCACAGCAAACTCCAGATCGCAGTGACCACTACCACACCTTAACAGCAAGCGCCAGATCGCAGTGGACGCTACGGGACCTCAACAGCAAGCGCCAGATCCCAATGGGCACGACCGGAGCTCAACCGCAAGCTCCAGATCGCAGTGGGCACTGCCGGGCCTTAACCACAAGCTCCAGATCGCAGTGGGCACTGCCGGGCCTTAACCACAAGCTCCAGATCGCAGTGGGCACTTCCGGGCCTCATCTACAAGCTCCAGAACGCAATGGGCACTCCCGGACCTCCACAGCAATCGCAGGAAACATGTGAGGACACACGCCAACAAGGACGTCAGAACAATCGAGACTTGATGCCAGAACAAGCGTCAGAACATGGTATCAATCCGCACGTCCGCCTTTGTTAGGCTGTCAGGACATGTGTCCTGCCTTCTTCAAAAACGCCTTTCAGGGTGGGGATCACTCACGCCTAAGAATCCTGAGGCCTGCCATGACAGGGGTCAAACCCAACACCGATGCGCAGGGGTGCGGACCCAAACCAAACCCCTTCCATTGGTTTGGGCCGATTCTTAAAGGTCTTAGAGGGTATAATAATGTATAACATGGTATAATCCACAGTCTACATGACCCAAGCAATTCTGCCCCCAAACACGCCCCAAGTTGTGCGGTCCAAGCACCGCGTATCAACAAAAAACGCCGGCCGTTGAGCGGAAACCGACTGCGGCCCGGGCGCCAGATCTGAGAAGTGGAGGAAGACATCGCCCCGTCCGTTCTGAGCCTTGGCCTCTTCACGCGACACGAAGCCGAAGCCTGAAGCAAATGGGGCGAGGCGGCGTGTCGCGTCGCCTGAACGGTACACCACCAGACCTGGTAGTGACCTCTGACTGGTCATGGCACCGCCTGAGAGCTCAGGTCAGGTGGGTCATGGCACCACTAAGAACGAGGGGGCGAACGTTCATTTTTTTTGCAAATCCTGAGCAAGGGCCGGATCCTTTTCACAGCTCGATGAAAAGGACTCTTGGAAGAATATCTCCTACTGCCACCTGCTCAGGTTCGGTGCAGCTGAACCCTCAAAGTCTGCATAAAACTGTCGAACACCTTCTCAAAAAAGGCATCGTCTTCAAAAGGAAGCATGTGCTTCCCCAGTGAGCTCGTCGGCATGGCCAAGGCATGCAAAAAAACAAAAGGATACAAAAGGAACAAAGAGGGTGGCACCCTGTAGCGAGGCACAATATTGAAACCTTACTTTTCTACTAAAAATATCTACCTTTGCAGCAAAAATTGGGGGGGCAAAACCAAAATGAGGGAGCAAAGACAACGAGACCATACTAGTAGTGGGTTAAAACCAGGCAGGTGGCGAGGGACTCGCTGTGATCGGAACCACATGACTGCTAATTCCTGGACCAAATCATACTCTTGATTCTTGATGCAGTTCCTCCAAATCCACATCTCAATTCCACCTTTGGACATGACAAATCCTTCCCCTTCAACTCGATTGATGTCCGGCCTTTGCCCACAAAGAGGCGGCGGATGGTCCCAGTAGTCCAGCCTCCTGTCACATGGGTTTTCGTCGCATTGGTTGGTTTTCGTCCCATGGTGAAGGCTGGTCCTTCGACCGTAGCAGCTGGAGTCCGGTTGGCCTCTCCAACCCTCACATCCACTCATCTCATCTCCACCCCTTAGGCCCTTGATGGCCCTTGATGGCCCGGAACTGCTGGCACTTGGAGTTGAAGGGATTCAACCAGGAACCGGGAAAAGCCACCATCACCTGAAAACCCCCAAAGCAAGAACCGGAACACGAAGGCCCAAGGCACGCATGATCGACCACTTCAAGAAAAACAGTGTTTTCAGCGGAGTAGCCAAACTGCTCGCTCCAACTCTTAAACTCTCCAACTTCAAAACAAAACGCCTCAATTGTCTACTCCAACAAGGGGTGTGTGTGAGTACCACCTTAAATCATCACAAGTTCCGGGTGTTGCATCTCTCGAACATTCGGACTGGCACACCTGCCTGAAGCCGTTGTGCTGGCTGTCGAAGTCGCCGCGGAAGGCTCCATGGGGACATGAGCACGTGGGGCTCCTTGACATCTCTGCGGAGATGGGCAAACGGGCGATGGCTTCAGCTTTGCATCGGAGGTCTTTCTTGGTAGCTTCACCCACCAAAGAGTATTCAAATGATTGTGGAGCATGTCAGGGAATCACTTCCAAATCTGCACACATAGAGGTTCCAAGCAGCCTTTGGTCCCTCCAGGTCCTTCAAACTCCTCAAAACCATAGGGACTTGACAAAGGATTCGGGTCCTATCCTTCCAGGGACCAACCAATTTCCATGTTCGAGTCGCCCGCCCTCGCACTCCGAGACAGATCGAGTCGCCGAATTGCAGGCGTTGCTCATCGATCCCGTGAAGGATCCAAGTCGATCCGGCGCCAGACTCAACGAGTCTGCTTCACACCGGTGAGGAGGAGAGGAAGACAACCGTTGACAAAAAACCCGGTTCTTCGGCTGTCAAAGCCTCCAACCCAGAAATTCCATGGTGGGCCCCTGAGTGGAAAAACCGGACAACAAAGGCTCCTCCTTTGGATCGGCGTGGTCCTCCCTTGCCCATCCTCAGCGCCGTCGACGCATGCGGTACACGGGTGTGGTCCCTTTTGGGCCATGTCCTACCTGCTGAGTACAGGGAGCAGACAAGTTTCATGTCACAAAGAGACAAAACCAATTGATTGGGCATGTAAATAGGGAGACCCCAACCATTTGGTTTGGGTCTACCTTCCTTCTTCGAGGGTGTTGTTGGGGGTCTCCCCATTCTAACACAAACACACAATTGGAGTCTTGCACCTTGCTCCGTTCCTGCCTTTCTTGATCAGAGGATGCTTCGTTCAGTGCGATGCATTCAGGTAGGACGATCTGGTGAGAACACTCTGTCCTTCTTGGATTGCTGATTTCAGCCATATCAAGTCATTCTTGGAGTGGCCCGAGCCCTGGATCTTCAGGTTTTCTTCAGTGCAAAGAAGGCAAGGAGTGATATAGAACTGCTTCCTACCCTAAGAATCCGCTCCCGAAGAAATGGAAAGGGTTTTGAGATGTTTTCAGAGTCCGTTTCGGATGTCCGTTTCAGGTCCAAGGATCCGAAAGGTAAGGAAATCAGTTTGGAAGTACCAGTCCAGTCGTACCTCTATTAGCTACCTCTTTCCTTCTATCCTGTTCTTTGGTCTACAACTCATTCTTTTGGGGTGAACAGCTGGTTGCAGTGATTGACTTTCTTCAAGCTGTGGGCATCTATTCAGGGTACAGTGGATATAAAAGCATCAGAAGGGACACAAGTGCAGGGACGATATTCTTTGAAGAACAACACAGGGCTTGGGAGAGGAAGATTGCCTAAAAGGAATTGCTTTTGGGGTAGTATGCACTTGACGCCACGTCCAAACACCAGCGAGTCTTTGTGTTGTGTTCCCTGGAACCATCCCGGAACCATCATGGAAATGGAAGATGGACCCTTAATGATCCAATTCCTCCAGATGGACCCAGCATGGTTTTGCCACGTCGTTTTGATGATTTCCATTAGTGTATACCATTTTGTCCCGTTTGACTCGTCCGAGACGTGTCCACAGAACGAAAAGCTCCACTGCCCATTTCACCTGCTTCCGTCCACTGGAAGATCAAAGCTCTGGAGGTTTTCAGGATGTCTCATGAGGGTCCGTATAGAAACTTCGAAGATGCCTTTGGGCACTCTCCCTGGAACATAACATGGAAGCACAAAACCTCGTGTTTGTAGAGGAAAAGTGTCTTCCTTTCGGGGTCATGTCCATGCTTTTTGCGGGGAGTGTATAGAACTAGAGATTCCCCCACCACCGCATCGTAGACGACTGGTTCGTAGTGTGGTTCGCCATTCGTGCACCCGACATGGAACCGTTGGAGAGTCTGAAGCGCCCAAGAGCCTTCACCCATCCCAAACACTCCGTGTATGCCATATATGCCTACATTGACCCCCAAAACCACCCCAATGTAGGCATATATGGCATACATGGAGTGTGAGGGCATTTGATCTCTGGTAGCTGATGCATGCTGATTACCAATCCGGCCAAGCACCAATCCGGGACGCTGGAAGATGTCCGGGCCTTCATGCTCTGCCCATGTTCCGGTCAGTGAGTTCTACAGTTTCAGGGAGCTTGGTGCTCAGGTTCATGGGTTTGACAGCCTGGACAGGAGGGTCCTGGTAGAATCACTGCAATAAGTATGTACTATAGTAATTGACATTATATATATACCTGCACCACCCTTTGGTACAGAAAAATTTGCTCGAGGTATGTTTGGTACAGATTTTTGTCATCGAGCGTTTTTCTCTGTAAGGGTGCTAATCGTGCACATTTTTTGATCGAGCGGATTTCTGCATGATTTAGTCAAAATCATCACTAATCTTCATGGTTGCTGCTCATTGCTTGCGGTTGCTCACATTTGTTGGGTTTTGTCATTGATGCTGTTCGGATGGTGTGCTTTTGCTTCGTTGATCTTCATGGCTATGCCTGTTGTGTCATGCAGCTGTTTTGTGCTACAAGTTCGCAGCTCGAATGGAAAATTTGGCCACACCCGGAGGAGAAATGTTTGCTCTTGTTTGCTGGCATTCATGTAATTTGACTTCTGCTCATGAGTCATGAAGGAGTACGATGGTTGCCCATGACACGAGCAGGTTTCCTAGCTGTTTTTGGCAAGGTGCAGGCATGTGGTTGGAGACATGTTGCAAGTTTTGTGCAGCATTTGGGCTGCAGCAGGGCTTTGCGCCAAACATGGGGTGGTTTGAGCAGGCTGGGACTTTGGCCACTGCGTGGGCCAATGAGGATGTTGTTGCGCCAGCTGGACAAAAGATGTCCTTGTGCTCGTTTCGTTCCTCGAAGTTGACGAGAAGAGCTGTGGCTGCAATAATAGCGGATATAATGTATATATGGATATATATATATATCTACACAAGCATAGCACTTACATTTCGCTTGTCCTTGTTTGGAGCTACATATGAACCAAGGCCAACTGGACTATTGTGTATTTTGTGCGTTTGCCTTGTGAGGAGACTTGAAGGACAACAAGCTTGTGGTGGGCCTTGCTATAAGGCATTTGGGTTTGCGACCAAGCTTGGACCAGGTCATGCAAGCAGTTTTCCAGTTCTGGTCGCTCACGCTTCCGAGAGGAAAGGACATCTGCAGCAACTCAGCTCATTAAATGCAAGAATGCTCTGTGTTGATTGTGCGTGTGTGTTGCTGATGGTCGTTCCCAGGCACAAAGCAAAAGGTGCATGCCAAGTGTGTCATGAAACTCATGTACCTGTTTTCTCGCATTGCCAAGACTCTTGGCGGCGTATGTTGTGTTGTGGCTGTGGCACATGTGGTGCAATATCTATATATAGAGATATACATGTGGTATGGCACATGTCACATGTGGCACATGTGGTGGCACAAGTTTGATTGGCTCAGGAGGCCGCACATTCCTCGAGATAGAGCCATCCGAGATTTGTACGAGTATGCTGGTCTGACGGTGCCAGGATTGGAAGTCCGATTGTGTGATCTAGGGCCCATGATGCTCGGCAGTTTGTGTGTGCGCGCATGCCTGAGGAGCATGTGAAGATGATGATGGCTCGAGTTCAGCCAGCGATACTGAGACTGTCTGGCGCTCAAGTGCTGGGTCGCGTTGTGTCGGTCATGTTTCCAAACTGTTCTGCAGGAGCATGAAGCATCAGATGAGGAAGCTGCTGCTGATGAGGGCAATGGTGCAGGCCATCTTGTCGAATGTTCGTGTTCTGCATGCTCTTGTATATACATATTGAGTTTTTTGCAAAGTGCTGGTGCAAAAAGGCATGTACCAACAAGCCTTAGGTGTCTATAGGATTGACCATGACAGCATGATTATCTAGCTTGGGCCTGTTAGCCTGCAATAGCATATGTTGGCTTGCAATATCTTGGTAACTTCATAGAAGAGCATGTAGCGATATACCTTGGCAGCTTGATGGATAACGTATCAATTTTGGATTAGCATGTGAATGCTTGCTTGATGATATTCTGTTGATATGGCAGCTTGATAGATAAGGACAAATAGATGGCATCTTGACGGATCATATAGTTTGCTTGGAATACCTATAGGATGCGAACACTTGCTTGATATTCAGTTGGTATATGTATATTTAAAAATTCATGGCAGCTTGTCGGATATCATAGTTCGCTTGGAAGTATATATGGCATGAGTGCTTGCTTGATATTCAGTTGATATAATTGGGCCGGATATATGTTGATGGCAGCTTGGCGAATATAATATATTTATAATTCCCTTGGAGTGTCTATATGATGTGACTGCTTGCTTGATACTTGGTTGGTATATGCGCTGTGGCTTGATTCGTTGATACGTTGGAAATAGTAATATTGCTGAGTGGAACTACCTTTGCGTATGCACCATTTTGTTGGATATGAAAGCATAGTGATAAATCCATAGTCTGTGCTGCATGTTCCCATCCTCTTCATTTTGTGCTGCTCAGGCGCTGATGAGCTTCCACAGCATGCCGTGCAAGGACATCCTGTTGATGAGATCAGCATTGGGCTTGGCTCTCGTGTTTCGCATGCGCCATGCAGGTTTGATCTGCTAAGCATGTGAGCTGAGGCAAGGGTGGAAAGTCCATGTCGGAAGAGCCACAGTTCATGGACATCAAGGACCTGGTCAGATGGCACCAGGACAAAGATGACATGAAGGAGATGCAGCAAGAGTTGGAGAAAGAAAAAGCCATGGAGCAGGAGCAAGATGAAATTGGAAAGCTTTTGCAGGCTCAAGAGCAGCTGAATGAGCTGCTGCAGCAGCAAGAACTGCGAAAGCTCCATGAAGAGTTGTTCGAGCTTCGTCGCCAGCAAGAGTTGCAGAAGGAGATGGTGGCGTTGAATGAGCTTCTTCACCAGCAGCGCCAGCAGGAGTTGGACAAGGAAAGGGCGGAGTTGAAGGAGCTACTTCGCCAGCAAGAATTGGAGAAGGAGATGCGGGAATTGAACGAGCTTCTTAGCATGCAAGAGCTGGAGAAAGAGGCTTGTTCAAGCAAGGTTGGGCAGTGTGAGTTGAAGGTTGACATGCATGTTGACGGTCCGCCTCATGAGGGAGATGTTGCGTCTCATACAGAAGAGCCAGAGGCACCTCATGGGGATGTCTCTCATGCAGGAGAGGCGGCTTGTGCTGCTGAAGTGAAGAATGGCAGTGTTGACCATGAAGCCCCACAAACCCGACATGTGAAAGAGAATGAGAAGAGTGGGCGCTGTGTTGAGATTGGGATGGACAAGGATGGCAAAACAGTTGGCAGTGCTTCTGTGGGCTCCGCGCAGGACCCATGGCGCGTGGCAGTAACATGCTCATTGTTGAAGAGTACATTTGTGGGTTGTCAGGATCCGCGTGTCTGCCTTGCATCTGTGGCCACTCCTGCTCGTGCCCAGCTTAATGTGACTCTTGCGCAAAGAGCTAACTGTGTGCACTGTTTGTTCTGAAGGCTCTGCGTCTCTTCGCACACCAGCTGCTTCTTGCTTGCAAGAATATATCATGTTTCATGGACTAACTGACGTCATGTGTTGCCTGGAGTTAAGGTAATTGCCGTGCC